GTTGCACCAGTCTACACTCCCACCAGCAGTTGAGAAGGGTTTCCCTTTCCCCACAGCCTCTCCAACATTTGTTGTTGGTTGATTTCTTTATGATAGCCAATCTTTCTTGGGTGAGATAGTATCTCAGTGTTTTAATTTGCATTTCACCGATGGTTAGTGATGTGGAGCATTTTTTCATATATGTATTTGCTTCTTTAATTTCGTTCTCTGAGAAGTGTGTGTTCATCTCAGATGCCCATTTCTGGGTTGGGTCTTTAAATTTAGGGGCCCTAATGTTCTTTAGTTCTTTATAAATTCTAGAGAGCAGACTTTTGTTGGAGTGCTTATTAGTTAAGATTTTTTCAAAGTTTGTGGGTTGTCTTTTCACTTTGTTGATAATTTCTTTTGACATGAAAAAACTTCTCAATAAGAGGTGGTCCCAGTTGTTAATTCTTTCAACTGTTTCCCATGTGATTTGGTTTTCTGTTCATGAACTCTTTGCCTACCCCTATGTCTTCAAGAGTTCCTCCTACTTCTCTTCTAGGAGATTTAGTGTTTCTGTTTTAATGTTCAGTTCTTTAATCCACTTTGACTTTAGTAAAGTGCATGGTGATAGACCTAGGGGAATGTGTCTTATCTGTGGCAAAATACCGAAGATAAATGCCTCGAAGGAAGAAAGGTTTATTTTGACTCCTAGTTGCAGAGGTTGCTGCTGGGCTCTGTGGCTGTGGGCTGTAAGAGCCAGATCCTCATGAAGGTAGCATGTGGCAGTGTCACTGCTCCCCTCATGAGCCCAGAAAGCAAGATGAGAGAGAGGGGAGGTTCAGGTCCCAGCATTCCCTTCAAGTCGCTCTCCCAGTGACATCACTTCCTTCTACTAAGCTCCGCCTCCTGAGGGCTCTGCTACCTCCTAATCCCTGCATAGGTTGGTGACCAGGCCTGTAGCTTGTGGGCTTCAGGGACCCTCTGAGAACCGTGCCATGAGAGTAGGCCTCTGTGCACACCACACACAGACATAGTCCTATGATAGGAACCACTGAAGGCGGGCATCCCTTTGTCAAAGGCATCTTTCTAGAAAAGCAAATATATTTTGGTGAGTATGAGAAAAATGCCCAGTGTTTCAACATGCCTGTGATAGATAAAAGTAGAAACCAGAAAATTAAAGTTTAGCCTGTCGTTATGTGAACTGAACGATAGCTAAGAATCAGAAAGACTGATGACAAGTACTAGGAGCCACCACATCTTGCTGTCTGACTTCCTCAACCCTGGTTGGCTTCTGGAACCTTTTTTCAGGAATCAGTGAAGTTGAATTGTGCAAGCTGGTGACGTTTGCTCCTCTTTGGACATGAGCCGGAGCTCACTGTGATGCAGATGTCAGCCACGTGCAGATTGGTCTTTCTTCGTGCGGTTCTTGGCTTCGAGGACATCTGGGGTCAGATAGTTCTTGGCTGTGGGGAGTTGCCCTGTGCATTGCAGAGTGTACCTTCTAATCACTGACTGTGACTAGCACCCGTGGGCATGGCAACTGAAATGTCCCCGTCAGGCCCATACGTTCTCCAAGGGGGTAAACATCCTGTCCCAAATGCCAGCAGTGTCTAGGTTGAGAATACTTTAGACTCCATGGTGTGGTTTGAGCTTGGGGACACACTGTGCCTGCACAAGTGCAGTGGGGCATCTGTTTGCAGCTGTTGAACCTCAAGAGCCCCAGTTGGGTTCTCAGATCTGCTGTGGCCGGATCTGAACTCATCACCCCCTCTTGTCCCACCCGCTGTTAACCACCCTGAGAAGAGGCTGCACAAATTGGGAGCAGAATTCAAGCAGAGCACACTCAGATGGGGTTTCCTAGCAGGTCAGAAGGCACCAGCTATGTGGTCCCCAACTGGCTTCCTGGAAGAGTGTGTCCCAGCATCTTGTTCGTTGCCCAGCAACTCAGGGTTCCTGCTCTGCTCCCAGAGCCTAGGTGGCAGCCTCCCCAACCTTGGATTCTGCAACCCTGTCAAGAGCAGGCCTGCCCTTCCCCACCAGCTTAGCCCTTCCCAGAGAAGGCTGGTGGACTTACCTGCAGGGGGCGCTTACTCAGGCGCTAGAGAGCGAACATTGTCAGAAGTTCCACATCCTCATCCCCCACTCCCCTCGACCTGAGGTAACTGCACAAAGCCCTGGCCCAAACTCAGAAACATCTGCTGCCCCTGGAGAGGCCTGAGATGATTTAGCAGCTGAGCGGTGATGTGGACGGCTGATTCTGCGGCCCTCACAAAAGCAGCAGGCCAGTGGGGAGACCATGTTCCATGGGGCTCTGGAAAAATGCGCATCTAACAAGCCAGGAGCTGAGCTGGAGCAAAAAATTGGACAAATTTGTCCCTTGGTAGTCCATTTCAGTTCCCCCATTCACCAATGCCATGAGTTAAGTCCCGGGTACTGTAAATAAGGCAGACCTCTGGGGCCCTTGGTGTCATGGTTGCTCAGCCCGAGATGCACGTGTATGGGTTTGGTCACAGGCCAAGTGGGTTTTAGCCACGAGCCCCTAACTTTGTCCAGAAACTCATATGGAAAAGGTGAACCAGAGGGAAAGCGCAGCCCGCCTTGCCCTTGGGAGTTCCAGAGTGCCTTCGTGGGCTGAGCTGGCTTGTCTTGTTCTGTTTTCTTTTTTACAGCTGCATGAGTACAAGTCCTCCTCACATCGGATTTTTCGCTTGAACAACATAGCGAAAGCACTTACCTTTCTGGAGGAAAGCAATGTGAGTGTTTGAGGCACATCTTGTTGACAAACTTATCTGGGAGGAGGAGGAGTAGCTTACAGTTTAGTGCTGGTCCTGGGAGAAGTGTGGAAAGGGCAGCTGGCTAATTGGTCAAACCTGAGCGCTGAAGGACTGGAAGTGACTTAGAGAATCCACCCATTAGGGAGACAGCCCACCCCATATCCATCAGGATTAGGGCTCCAGGCACAGTCAGTTGTAGTGGGCCAGAGCTGCTGACGGCTCTCCTCAAGTCTTTGGGATTACTTGACCTCTTTTAGGTCTTGGAGTGAGGGTGAGGTGATATGGGGGCATCAGACTTTCTCCTGAGACATAGGGAGAGAATGGACTTCCAGTGCCCACGAAGCAGCATTCCTGCACCCTCCCCCTTGCTCCAGCTGTCTGCACGCCATTGCTTGCTCTTCTGTTTGGCAGTCTGGTTTGTGTCTTTCCCAGATGGGAGGGCGCAGCCTGGGGTGAAATTCCCAGTCTCCCCTTTCATTACACTCTGCCATGAATCTGGGTTAGAAGTCTTGGGCTCGCCTGATGTCTCTGCACTCAGTAAAACTTTCTCTCAAGTCTGAGTCACTCAGGCTTCTTCATGGTGACAGAAGCTGGTGCTGGCTGGTTTCAGCAGAAGAAGAACTTGTTGAAAGGATGCCAAGTGCTTCCTGGATGACCTCAAAGACTAGAGGACCCCGGCTGGAGCCTGGGAGTGCGACCCAGGGGTGCACTGTGCTTTGTAGCCAAAATGTTGACATAACGCAGAAGCCCTTCAGCCAAAAATTGGGTCAATAAAAGGTGGTCTGTTGGTACTGAGGAGTGTTACTGGGCCTGGAAAAGAGGGAGGCCCTGATAGGGGGGCCCTGACACGTACTGCTGCATCATGGATGAGCTGTGAGTGTACTCTGCTACGTGAGGAAGGGCTGGGGCAAAGCAGGGTATGGTGGTGCATGCCTGGAATCCCATCACTTGGGAGGCTGAGGCAGGGGGATCACTAGGAGTTCAAGGCCACCTTCTGCTACCTATGGAGTTCAAGGTGAGCCTAGACCACGCAGCAAAACCCTGTCTCAGAAACAAGCACAACAACCTGCAAAACCACGTATTGTATGCTTTCACTCAAGTGAGCTGCCTAGGACAGGGAAATTTCTAGAGACAGGAAGTAGGTAAGTGATAGCTTAGTGCTGAGGAAGACAGGGGCGAGCCAGAGGGTACAGGGCTTCCTTCAGGGTGATGAACATGTGCTAGCATTGGCTGCGGGGAGCTTGCCCATGTCTGTGTGATACCACTGAATGGGCAGATTGAACGGAGCGTCAGTTATTTCTCAGTGAAACTGTTGAGCAAGACGGCATCCCTGGATTCATTGAAGGGCACCCTTTCTGGAGCATCATTTCCACCGACAGCCTCTGCTGGAGTTCATATCAGCCCAGAGCTGAGAGAGTAACTGTTCCAGCTTCCTGTCCTGGCTTCCGCACTCACGTGCCGACTGTGGAGCTCTCTGAATAGAGGTGACGGAAGCCGAGGCTGTCCGGAAGTGCTGGTGCAGACGCCGTGTGCTGCTCAAGCCAGTGCTGCCAGGTGAGGCCTCCTCAGCACAGCCCTGACCACCTGGCGGGGACTCCTTACTTGCCCTCCAGCCTGAGCTGGCTTAGGAGCACACTCCTGCTTTGTTAGCCGCTGCAGCACAGGGTCTGGTCTCCTCAGGCAGACTGTCTCCTGCACATGTCAGAGGTGCCCAGGTCAGTCAGGGTTTGTGGTCAGCAGCCATCAGTTCACCTGCTGAGTGTCTCCTGTGAGCCTGGGGCTGTGCTGTGTCAGGGACAAACAACTGCCTTAGAAACACATCTGAGCCTTCGAGATGCTTAGGCAGGACCTTGTGTGGACAGCGTGCCACGCCTCCTCTGGGCCAGGAAGGTGAGCAGTGATCCCGCAAGCCCAGCAGGCAGGGGTAAGGGGGTGCTGCGGCAGGGGACGGCTCTGCACCGAGGCATGTGACGAGGACAAGCGGAGCCATGGCTTGGGAAGGCCTGGTGTCTGTAATCTGGGAGCTGAACTTTCTCAAACTGCAGTGGACCGTCAAAATTGCTTCTCCTCTCTCTTCGCTCAGCATGTAACGATCTCGAAATACCTCAGGTATGGGTGCATGCCAGCCTCGGGCCTTAGCTTGACAGGCAGGGAGGCACGAGGAGCGAGATGGAAACGGGCTTTCGGGTGCCATCTTTTCTGTCCCAGCCTCGGAATCCACAAAAGCCTTAGAGGAGCTCTCCTTGGTCTTCCTATCTGGCTGTCCCAGTCCAGGAAAGACAGGGCTCAGGGGCTCCACAGGGGAAGAGCGATAGCCGGATGTGCTGATGACCTCGATGCTGCAGACTCTGGGGCTGCCGGTGAGTTCCCCGCTTTCCCCACAAGCGCACCTCACAGAGTGGGACGGGCTGGCCCACAGACCAGCGAATCCTTCAGCTTGAGACTTGTCTCCTTTGTCTACAAAGTGGGCACAGTATGAACATTAAAAGAATGAATGGCAGGTGGGCAGTGCTCCGCTGGGGACCATTTATCCTAAGGCCCCTCAGTTACCACACACCAGGGAGAAAGAATCATCTCATAAACCAGTTGACCCATCAGCTGCCAGTTGCAAAACCAGCTGAGTTTAAAGCAAGAGGTCAAGGACGTTTGCCGTGAAGCTCTTAACAGCCCTGGCTGTGAAAGTGCTGTCTCACCACGGAAAAGGAGAAGTGATCAGATCCCTGAGGAGATCTCTGGAACGCCTGCTCCTGGGCGTGGACCTCCTGCAGCCACACCTTCCCTCAGTCCAGCAAGGTGCTTTCTTCTCTTATGTGGGCTTCTCCAGAGCCACCTGCTGCCCACTCAGCCCTCGCCTTCCCACTCTCAAGATGGGCCCTGTCACGTCCAAGGATCCCCCCCAGGCAGCTCTGGAGCCTCAGCTTGGGGCCACGGCTGTCCCTCGTCATTTCGACTTCCTCCACGTAGCATGACTGCAAGGATGGTGGAGGTGGCTCCCTGCTTTGATCCCTGGGCCAGACTGTGTACCCTAAGCCACAGGAATGGGGAGCTGTCAAAGGTGGGGTTTCGCAAGTGATTCGTCATGTGGGATGTGTGCTGGTGACACATGTGGATGGAGTGCTGGACCTGAATGTGACCGGCTGTGTTCTTCACAGTATTGACAACTTCCTTCCTGGCCGCCCATCTGCCAGTGATGAGTCTGTGTTGTCTGAGTTATATTCTTGGCATCAGCCCCCAAAACAGACTTCATCCAGGGAGCTGGCCGTCTCCCTGTCTCCTTCGATTAGGGAAGCCCAATCTCAGGATCGGTGTTGTCAGACACCTGGGACAAGCTGATAGGATCAGAGACCAGAGTCAACCAATTTAGCAAGCCAAGGTGGGAAAGGAGGGAAAGGGGTGATGAGGAATGAAAAGCTTTTCTATGAAACATTCTCTCCCCTTTTTTCTTATCTTCCCCTAGTGTCCCAGGCGGAATCTTGTGGTGTGGGTTTCAGAGTCTGTTGGGTGGGGCTTCCCTGGCTTCTCTCTCTCCTGGTCTGTTCAGTTGCAAGAGGTTCCTGAGACCCAGGTGGCCTGCAGAGCCCTCCTTGTGCTCTGGCCTTGCTCTCCTTGCGCTCTGGCCTCACCCTCCTTTTCAGGGAGGTTTGCAGGGAGGCCTGAGCCACCGCTGAGATGTTGTTTCCCAGCGAAATGATGACTCGCAGCCATCATCCTCCAATTCTAGCAGACATAGGAGCCATGTGGCTGTTCAAGTGCAGATCGGTGTGAGAAGGAATTTGCATTTTGGGCTCGCTCCCAGGGGATGGTGCAGCTGGGCCAGGGCTACACTTGGCCTTAGGGATTTACTAAGAGCAACACCCTGTGATCAGAACTTTCAAAAAATTTACTTGGTGCAGGGTTTCATTATGCAACTCAGACTCATAGTGATCCTCCTGTTTTCAGCCTCCTCAGTCCTGGGATTACAGGCATGTGCCACTATGCCCCATCTCAGTGGCAGGCTCAGCACACCCAGGGCTGGGGCCTGTGTGGCATGTGGTGCCGGGGATCGAATCCTCGTCCTTGCACTTGCCTAAGCAGGCGCTTAGTCCACTGAGCTATCTCGCCAGCCTGAACTTTAGAAGTAAATAAAGAGGTAACTCCACAAGGTGCCTACAGCTCACACCGTGGAGCTGTGCAGTAGGGTGCTTGGTAATGCTGGGTATAAACTGTATCCCAGGTCACTCTTGCCCATTGGCCTGGGATGGTAGGTACCAGCCTGTGTTTGTGCCAGGCTGTGGAAATCTGGAGGTCCGATGGCCCCAGTGCAGCATGCACACAGACCTCTGAGCACAGCTGTTTCGAGCACAGCAGGAACCTTAGGAATGATGTGGGTCAGGGTGTGTTATACTTAACCTCTCTGAAACGTCCTTGTGAGCTAGACAGCGGGTGGAAACACCCATGCTCTAGGGTTGTTGGGAGGATAAACTGAGGCAATTCCTGCAAGGGCTTAGGATAGTGTCTGCTCACAGTGAGCACAATGTACATGTTCATTAAACACACACTGGCACGCCAAGTGTCCCTGAAAGGTGGCCTTGGGCAGTGTTAGGTGGCACAGGGTGGGCTGAGAGACAGGCTTACGAAGCCAGCAGAAATAACCCAGGCCCGCAGCCCTGGAAAGGGCATCCTCTTAAGTGCATAAAGTGCTTCTCTCCAGGTCAAGCTGGTGAGCATCGATGCAGCAGAAATAGCGGACGGCAACCCCTCCCTGGTTCTCGGGCTGATATGGAACATCATCCTCTTCTTCCAGGTAAAATCGCTTCCCTTCCCTACTGCACAGTAACCGCCTTGGTCTGCTTAATTCCGACAGAACAGCCTGCATCCAGATCAAGGGAGACAGGAGGCGTAGTTCCCACCGCTTCACTTTTCGCTGAAAAAGAACTGAGATGTAGAAAGAGTTTGGGTCGTTGTTTAGTGATTGCCCCCAGAGTAGAAGGGATCCAGTCCAGGAAGATTTGACCCTCTGGTTACTCTGTGTGACCATTGAGCTTAAGAAGAAGCTCTCTTTCTAAGTCATAGTTTCCATATGTGTGAAGTAGCAGGCATGGTTCTCAGGTGTAATTGTCAAGAAAAGCCAGGTGGAAGAGCTCCTGGTTTGTGTAGGATTCAAGGAAGTTCCCATCTGCTTTCAAACTTCCTGAGAGATGCTGGACATGTCTTAAAAGACAACGCCGTAGGTCTACCTTTTGGTAGATGTCTGTTGAGTTTTTGCAGGATGCCAAGTGCTGGTACACACGGCCCTGTCCTTGTAGCCTTCTAGGATCACAGACAAGAGGACGGGGGCACTTACCTCAGATGGGGTGATGAGGAAAACTCCCGGGAGGAAGTGATCAGAGCTGGGTGTTGAAGGCTCAGTAGATTCCAAAGCCCACTGCTGCTCAGGCCTGCTGTATGTATGAGTCTCTTGTTGAAATGCAGATTCTGGCTCCATTGGCAGGTCTGGGCTGGGCCTGCATTTCTCACAAGCATCCCATCCCGTGATAGGAGTAGGAAGTGAGGGAAAAGGACCTATGGGTCAGGACAGGATGACCTGGAGGGCCGAGGCTGGCCCTGCTGCAGGCTGGACGGGGAAGCTGCCCCCCACGCAGTGCAGTTACGGCACGTCATGCCACGTGCCCCAGCCCTGCTGGCAGACTGTGCTGCTCCCACCTGAGTGCCTGCCCTGCATGACCTGGTTCCCCAGCGTGTGCTCTGGGCCGGCTGAGACGGTGGAGCTGCCCGCTGCGTAGCTGTGTGTGCTGCTAGTGTCCTAAGTGCCGTTCTCCTTCCAGATTAAGGAGCTCACGGGCAACCTCAGCAGGAGCTCCCCGTCTTCCAGCCTGTCGCCAGGCTCGGGAGGCACAGACTCGGACTCCTCCTACCCACCTACCCCGACGGCGGAAAGGAACGCGGCCATAGCAGTGAAGGACCAGAGGAAAGCCATCAGGACGCTGCTGGCGTGGGTGCAGAGGAAGACGAGGAAGTGAGCGGCAGCCCCTCCGGCCGGGGGTGGGCAGAGAGGAGACACCCACCTGCTGGTCACAGCCATGTGTGCCCGGGGATACACACACACACACACACACACACACACACACACACACAAGTACATGCAGGAATGCACACGTCCTGTTGCACACATGGAAGCTTTTGTGGGGATCTGAGAACACGTGCGAGGTTACTGTTGAGCACCAAAGCATCTTTCAGAGTCTGGGCCTCTTTAAAAATAATAAAAAAGGCTATGACCTACTTCCGGTCAAGCGTGGCCCACCCCAAGCTCAGACAGGTGAACTGGACCGACGCCCAGCCTCCTGTGGGCCCCATGCCAACGAGGATCGCATCCACAGCCTTTTCCTGGTAGTCCCCGAGCCCTGGGCAGCATGCCAGGGCCCTGTGCAGGGAGCCACACCCACACAAGGTCACTGAGCTCTCCAGTCTTGCATGCAAATGGGGACTCACATTTGCTGCCTTCCAGCCTAGGCAGGAAATGAAACAAAGTCTGAGAAGAGGCTTGTACCTGGCCAGCTCCCAGGAAGCACTTAACAGTCTGGGTCTTGGCTCTTTGCTGTTGGGAAAGAAGAGTGGAAGAGAAGTTGGATCTTCGGGGTTCTGTTGAAGGCTGTGGTGTGAAAGATTAGTTGATTAATGAGAACAACTGATTGATGTTGGTTAAAAATAAATCCACCAGTGTCATGGTGACACATACTTCCGTCCTAACACTTGAGAGGCCGAGGCAGGAGGGTCGCTATGTTTGAGCCCGTCTAGTTTACATAGTTAGTTCAAGGTCAAACACAAAACAAAAACAAAATACCATTTCAGCGATGAGGTTGCATTGTCAGGGGCATTCTAAGGGAATCAGTGCCTGGCGGACTTCTCTTTGTGTCTGTCCCTTTCAGAGTCATAGTTTCACCTATATTAATAATGATGGTGGGGCTGGGAAGATGGCTCAGTGGAATAAATGCTTCCCTGGCAAGCGCAAGGGCCTGAGTTCAATCCCTGGTTCTGCAAAAAAAAAAAATAATAATAATAATAATAATGATAATGGCGGCTGCCGTTTAGCGAGAAGCACCTGTTCTGCACACTGGGCTGACCATAGGGCTTGACCATTCTTAGGAGCCAACCTCGTGCTTTCCCCATACTGGCCCCCCCAAGCAGGGATGCCTGTTTTACAGCAGAGGAGTTTGAGGCGCCGAGAGGGCACAGAGCTGGGAGTGTAGAGTGGCGACTGAGGGGCAAATGCAGCCTCTCTGTTGAGCTCCGTTGCACTGTGCTCCCTCATCCTCTTCATTGCCAGTGTTGCCTGTGTCAGGCACAGTGTGCCCAGTTGCGCTTTGTGTGGGACTCAGGTCTTTTTGTCCCCATATGGTGTGTACCCCAGGAGGTTTGTCTGCAGGTGGGAATGCCAGGGCTCAGGCCAGGTCAGCTGTGTCCGCGAGATTGTTAGCGCCAAGCCCTGAGAGCTGCTGCGTGCTGCCCTCCCGTCTCAAGCCCACTGTGGCTGCCGCTCTTTTCCTCTAGATATGGCGTGGCAGTGCAGGACTTTGCAGGCAGCTGGAGGAGTGGGCTGGCTTTCCTGGCGGTGGTCAAGGCCATCGACCCCAGCCTGGTGGACATGAAGCAGGCCCTGGAGGAGTCTCCGCGGGAAAACCTGGAAAGGGCCTTCCAAGTTGCGCATGATGCCCTGCACATCCCCAGGCTCCTGGAGCCGGAAGGTGCGCTGATTCTCCTCTTCCTGTTTTTTCGCTTTGTCTTGCGTTGCAGATCTACCACCTGGTGTTCCAAGCTGGGAAATGCAGAAAAAGCTAGTGTAGAATTTTTTTTTCTGTATCCCAATATGTTTCTATTGCATTTAGTTATAATATCTTTTCCATAATTGGTATCATTCTGTAGATGTGCAATTTTGTCTCTTCATGTAGCATGCAAGTATTTTGCATACTTGTACAAAGTCCTTGTTATTGCTTTCCCTTGGTGTATAATAGGCCCTCTTAAAAGACTTACTGAAGTTTACTCAGCTCTTCCATTCCTGCTGGCCTCTGAAGTTGTTTAATGACTAAGCACTTGTCCTCTGGCATAGTGGCACGTGCCTGTAATCTCAGCTGCTCGGAGGCTGAGGCAGAAGGATCACTAATTCAAGACCACCTTGGGCATCTGCATCTTAGTGAGACCCTGTCTCAAAATAAAAAAGGGCTGGGGTGTAGCTCTGTGGTAGACTTTGGACCTGAGTCCAGGTAGGATGAGTCAGGGAACGGTGGCTTTTGTAAGCACAGTGCAGTGGCCGTCTTCCTGTGCACAGCTCTGCCTACAGCTCAGATTATTTGCTGGAGAGCCCATCTTCAAGAAATTTGATGTCCTACGTGAGCTTGGCATACCTGGGGCTTCCGAGGCAGCATGTGGGGTGCCCATGACACCAGTGGAAAGGAATCAGTTCCTTTATTCTTCAGCCAGCTGGGAGATGCTGGTCACACGCTTCATCCTCTGAGCCTACATTTCCTCCTGTGAGAAAGAAAAAGAAAAACCCCAAGTGTGCTGTGGGCTCCTTCACCACCGAGCATCCCCTGGAAAGCGGTGTCTGCGTGGCCTGCTAACGCATGTCTCTCTCTGCAGACATTATGGTTGACGTGCCAGACGAGCAGTCCGTCGTGACCTACGTGGCGCAGTTCCTAGAACGTTTCCCCGAGCTGGAAGCCGTATGTTTGCTTTCCTTGCCTCTCCCAGAAAGCGCACACGTCCCTGGCTGGTCACCAGGCGTGGCGAGCTTGGGTTCTGACCGTCTTGGCAGCCAGCGGTGACAACTGCTTGAGTTCCTTACTTTGCCACGTATCAATTTCTAAATTATCCTGGGTATACATGCAGCTGGAAGGTGGGTTGGAAATTAGGTCTCTTCCCGTACCAAACTTGATACTGCATAACAGCTCACTCTGCGGAGCCCCCAGGGACCCCATGACAACTACCCCAGTGACCCCTTGCACCTAGCTGCAGCTTTCAGATGTCCCCCACATGTCACATTCCCACTGCAGACACCAAGCCTGTGCAGAACAAAGCACAGCCAGCCCATGGCAGAGAACATAGCTGCTTCCCAGACGAGCACCAGAGGCAGCGCTGATCCTCTTGGCTTCATCAGGACTTGATCAGCGTTGTGCTGCTTTTTTTTTTTTTTTTTTTTTTTTGTAGGCATACCAGGGATTTAACTTAGGACCTTGCACTTGTCAAGTAGGTGCTT